AAAACCATTTAACTTTCTTAGCCCGTGGTTTCGAGTCATTCTTCTGGTTGTTATCATCTTTGAAAATGTTTTTCCTTTTCATATAATGCCTGTCGTGTGTGTCTTGTATTTCAATCGTCTCTTTTTTACGGGCGTTTCGTTTTTCAACCTTTTCTTGATGTCTCTTCTCATTAAACTCTTTGGTTTTATTTTTCTTTAACCCCTTTTTCCGAGTCTTCAGTTGTTTTTGCATTACTCCTAACTTTCGGTTCACTTTTGGGGCTTTAATTTTCTCATTCAGTTTATTTGGTTTAGACATAACACCGCTGTATTCGACCGATTGTTCGGTCGATTCGTGTTCTGTTTGGTCACTCTGTCGGCCATTCTTCTGATTGTCGGCGTTTCGGTTCATTCTATGCTTCTTCTTATTCAAAGCCACTTTGTTTTCAATGGAAAACTCAACGATTGGTCGCTTATCGGACGTAAAGATATTTGGGTTGTTATTCAATTGTCTCAACGCTTTCAATGCGTGGATGTGTTCAGTGAAAGCAATGAAACCAAATCCTTTAGATTTACCAAATTTCTGATCATTCTTATGTCGATCGCACATAACTCTCGCCTTCAATACAACAAAAATTGATTATAATTTTCTGTTTGATTTGCAAACAAATGATAAAAACCTCAATAATTTGTGTTTTCTTGTCGTTGACTGCATTGAGAAATATTTTTCTCAATTGTTTGTTATCGCAATTGTGGGGAAGATTATGAACGCAAAGACGAGTATCCGAAACAAAATAATGAGTGTTTTGAAGCATTTTTCGCTTTTTTGTTTCAAGCTTTTAATGTTAGAAAATTAAATAATTTAAATCATATATAAGTTAATGAATTCTATATTAATACTGTATCGCAAAACTTACTGCTAATCTCTTTTTAAGATCGGTTTGAGAGACTCCTTCAGCGGCGGGTGATTCGGGATATATAAGCCCTTCTTTGGCTAAATACAGATTCCTTTTGTCGCGATT